CAAGACCATGGTTTGTGAGGACATGGCTTCAATCCCCAGTATCATTCACACAGCAGTAAGAAACAAAAAGAACAAAACGAGTTAATTTTAAAGTTTCATTTTTTGCAGCAGAAATGAAATTTTTAATTTTCATTGTGCTTCAGTATTCTTTTGAAGGATGATAACATAGGTGTGGATGACAGTTAGTCTTTTTTAAATTTTAAAAATAAAAAAACTAAAATAACAATAAAGGCAAAATCAAAAAACACAAAAATGATACAAGACCTCAAAACAAAATGATAGAAATCAACAAGGGTTGGTACATTATACACTGTTATCTTCAAAGAAGTTGCTCAGTCCACCAGATATAAGAATGTAAGATTGATGAAACAGTCAAAGACAGTAGCAAGTAGTAAAAAGACAACAACATTGGAAATGATGCAGAGTTTCACCCCACAAGATAGCAGGGGTTCAACAATGGTTCTTATACTGCATATTGTTATTTTCAGATCAGTCATTCTGATTACCAAATTCAAGTGTGGAAATTTGGTCAAGGAAAAAGAAAATTTTAAGCATTGACTACAGACATCAGCAACATACCTATTCCAGCAATCTTTATATATACATATAAACTTTATTTTTTCATTAAGAAAAACAAGAAAAGAAAAACATATATAAACTAAAGGGCATAGAGAGCAATAAAATGATGCAGAATTTAAAAACATGGCAATAGGATATTAACAATGGTTGTTATATTAAATAATGTCATCTTCAAATGGTGGCACATATAACCAGATATAGGCATGGAAGACTGATCAAACAATTACACATTTACAGTTCCTTTTGATAAGCCAACAAATATTGGTAGTACAGTTATCCTAGCTATCCTGTGTATACATATACATATTTTTTCTCTTCCTTCTTTCTTTTTCCTCTCCCCTCCTTCATCCCAGGTGCTCCTTCCTATTTGAGCAGTTTCTTTTCCCTTTCACAAAGTCTATTGTACCTTTCAGATTTTATTTACTCCTTCAGGTTCTTATAGTAGGGAGGAAATATGATGTTTACATATGTGAATCTGATTTATTTCACTAATGAGTATGGTCTCTAGTTGCATCCATTTACCTATAAAAGCCTCTAGTTTATTTTTCTTTATAGCTGAATAATACTCCATTGTGTAAAAATACCACATCTTTTTTATCCATTCCTCAGTTGATGGACAGTTGGGCTGTTTCCAAGATTTAGCTATTCTAAGTTGTGCTGCTATAAACATGGGTGCACATATATCACTGTGGTATGATGTTTTCAGTTCTTCTGGAAGAACACTCAGGAGGGAAATAGCTGGGTTGAATGGGACCTCTACTCCTAGTTTACTGAGTTATGTCCAGACTGATTTCCACAGTGGATGCACCATTCTACCCTCCCACAAACAGTGGAGAAGAGTTCCTTTTTCACCACAAGCCCCCAGCATTTGTTATGGGTTGATTTCTTGAAGATAGCCATTCTTTCGGGAATGAGGTGGAATCTCAGTGTTTTTTAAATTTGCATTTCTCAAATGATTAATGGATTGAACATGTTTTTCATGTATTTATTTGCCACTTGTATTTCTTCATGTGAGAATTGCGTATTCATCTCAGATGCCCATTTTTGTACTGGGTCTTTGAATTTTGGGGACCTGATTTTTTGTCTGACTGATGTCTTTGTGACAGTGGTGTGTTAAAATCCCATTACAACTGCGTTATTACTTATTTGATTTTTCATATCTGTTAAAATTTGCCTTATATAATTGGGTGTCCCTACATTTGGTGCATGTATGTTTATGATTGTTACTTCTTCCTCTTTCAGTTTTCCCTTATCAAGAATATAGTGACCTTCTTTATGGTTTTTGATCATT